TGGGTAGCAGCCTCTGGAGCTGAAGGGAAGACGTAGGCAAAGGAGGGAGGAGGCCAGCGAGGAAGGGAGGACAGGTCATTAGATAGATCCCACGCAAAAGGAATTGTGCGAGAACCACGAGCCAATCCCCCAGCTGCCTCCAGGCCCAGGTCTGCTGACCCAGGCAGGCCATTAAAGTTCCCAACGCCTCAGTTTCCTCATTGGCCTCTTCCAGGGAGTGATACCTACCAAGCCCCAGCTGCTGGGAGGGTGGGTCAGACAACTTGTGAGCACACTGTGTGATGACAAAGCCCAGGAAGGGACCAGGAAGGGACCAGGAAGGGACCAGGAAGGGATCAGGAAGGACTTTGCGCCTCCTTCAGAATCTGGGGAGAAGGGCTCAGAGCGCCCAGCAAGCCTTTTTTCTCGCTTTCTGTCTCTATGTCTCTCTCTGTCTGTCTGGCGAGCGCACGCGCCCTACAGTGAAAATCTCTCCAAAAAAAAAAAAAAAAGAAAAGAAAAAAGTGGGGTGGGATGCAGCGAAGTCCCTGCCAGGGCCGCTGGCCAGCACAGGTGACCGCCCCACCACCCCGCACTCACCTCCTCTTCTTCCTCGTCTTCCTCGTCTCCTGGACCAAAAGGGTACTCCTCAGTGGGCTGGGACTCTGCACGGCAAGGGATTGTCACGCAGGACAGGAGAGGGGTCACCATGGAGGAACAAGGCCACCCTGGGCTCTATCTGGGCAGCCTGACAGCCTGCCTGGGGCTCCTGCTGTGGCTCTGCCCTCCCCAAAGCAGCCCAAACAGGGTGACATCAAAGTCAAAGCCACTGGAAATCAGAGGTCTCCCGGACTCCGGGGCCTTCAGCTCTCTGGGCCACCGGAACTAGACCAGGCGAATCCAGGTGCCTAAAACAAGGGCAATGGTGGGGAAGGACTGGGGCCTGGGTCCCCCGCCAAACCATTCCTGTCTCCATCACGTCCCACCTCAGCACTCCTGGGAGCCTTGTGTGTCCGGACCTGGCAGGAGCACTAAGCAGCACGTCTGGGACCATGCACCCTGCAGGTATGAGGGCCCTTCCTGTACCCAAAATGTGATGGCTGGGGGCCCAACATCGCACAGCTCCCACTGGGCGACACAGGGCCAGGCCTGGTACCTGCGGGAGTGGGGCCATTAGAGCAGACCTCGTAGATCTTGTAGGGCTGAGGCGGCATGTCCCGGGGCCCATCATAGAAGAGGCGGAAGTCGCGGCTCTTGTTAAGTGCACAGCGCAGGTTGGCCTTCCACTTGGCGGGATCAGCCTCGTCGACCCCTTCCGTGTACTTCCCCGTCTCCCTGGCCCAGGCCTGGGGCAGGAAGAGAGGACAGCTGACCGCAGCCAAGCTCACCCACCACAGCCCCTGCCGCCTCCTGCTCTGTGGGAATCACTGGCACAGTGTGACCCTCAGCCACGGGCTGAGCCTGGCGGAGCTGGGCTGCCACGTGGGGATCCTCCCTGCTCTCGGTTCCAACAAGCGTGGCCACTTTGAAAATATCTACACTCCCTGCTCCTGGGAGGGTACCTGGGTACTGCCTCCAAGGAGGACGGGGGGGACAGGGAGGAGACCTGGAAGGGGCTGGGTTTGAATCCGAACATACCCAGGCCCATCACTGCCTCTGTTTGCCTCAGTCTCCTCCTCATGGTACCCACCTCCCAGGGTGGCAGTGAAGACCCGGAGGCTGGCGCCGCAGGGCACTCAGCACCGGGTCTGCACCCAGGCGGGTCAGCTCACATTAGCTATTGGTATTACTATTTGAGTGACAGCTGGTAACATCAGGGTTATACATGTTTCTACCCTGTAACCCAGCAATTCAGTTTCTAGAAATTCACCAGACGGTTTATAGAACATCTACACAAAATTCTGCACATACAAGGTTATCCACTGTAGCAATATTTGGAAAAGCAAGAAAAACCCCAAATACCCAAAACCCACCAGTGGGGAGCAGCTTAAATTATGGCCAATCCATAGAACAGAGTACTGAGCAGGAGGAAAAAACTATAAAAAAAGGAGGAAGCTTTTTTTTTTTTTTCTGCAGGGTGTGTGTCCTCAAGGGGTAGAAAGTGAGATAAAATGAGAAATCACTCATGACAGGGAGGGCCATGCCACAATCCTTTCTCCATTCTCCTCTTCGGATTTCGGGCATGTACATGTGCCTGGCGTGTTTTTTAAGTCATCGGGTCTGGGATTCAAACCAGTGCTGGACACTCCCACATGGCCAACCATGGTTTGAATCCCAGACCTGGTGGCTTGCTTTCTCACTTTCTCTCTCTCTCTCTCTCTCTCTCTCTGTGTGTGTGTGTGTGTGTCTGGTCAAATTAAAATAAATGAATGAATAAAATAAATAAATAAATAATTCTTTAAAAAAAAAAAAAAAGATGAGGATCTTAGGGCCAGCAGGTGACATGGAAGTTAAGACAGTGGATGTAGACAACTGTGCAGTTCAAGTCCTGGACCCGTGGCTTGAAAATCACACTGGGCGTGTGTGCCCAAAATCCTGAGAAGAGACTGGAGGAAAAAGGACAGCAGCATGGCCACCCCTCCTGGGGGTGATTTCTCACTTTCCCTCTCTCTGTCTCTCTCTAACAAGTGCATGTACCCTATCTTACAAGAAAAAAGGAAATGGGACCAGCAAATGGCATGATGGTTACATCACTGGACTCCCACATAGTCACCATGGTTCAAGTCTCGGACCTGGCCACTGAAAACAAGCCAGAAATGTGCACATGCATGCCCAAGATCTCAAGAGGAGAATGGAGAAGAGACTGCGGCATGGCCATCCCCCTGGGGGATGATTTTTCACTTTTTGTCTCACTGTCCCTCTGTCTCTCCAGTGAGCATGTGCACCCTATAACAAAAAAATCTCTCTATGAAAAAAAAGGAAAAAGATGATGACTATACTAATTATCCCGATTAAGTCATTACACATTATAGTCTTTTTTTTTTTTTTTTTTTTGAGGGGTTTTTGCTT